CTTAGGATCAATAATGCTCAGTTCCTTCTTAATATTTTGTTTTTAGTCGGTGTTTTTATTTGATTTAATAGCATCAAGCTAGTTTTGTTATTTGCAAAAAGTGCATAAACATTCATTCCTAATGTGAGCGATTTTTGTAAAAAAGAAACTAGAAAGTTGTAAGGTTTGGGATGAATATGTTAATTCTTGAAAGATGATATTACATGAGAAAAATATCTTCAATGAATATCCTAATCTAGAAAACAAAAAGATTTTTGTGACCTGCTTGGGATCATGCACAAGACCATAGTATTCAAATGTTAATTTATAAAAAGTTGTTTCAATTTTTATTGTAAGATAAAGGTATGTAATAAGATATAGTACATTTAATCTAAGTTTTTCTATTTTTATTTTTATTTTTTTGGGGGTTTTTGACCCATTTTAAATAAAAAAAATCTACTTGACCAGTTAATCCGGTTACCTGCCCCGAATAGTCCGGTTCCGGTTTAAACCGCTCCCAACCCCATATCTGGTTAACCGTTCCGATTCAATTTTGCAAACATTGGGCGAAACCAAGTACTCCTGGAGTTGTGTCATGTGTGTACAAAACTCAGGGCATTTAAAAAAAAATCCAAAAAAAAAAGTAAAAAATAATGATACGATGTCATACAATTTTTTTCTTACATAAAGTTTTTGGCAAAGATTGGTAAGTGGTTTATGCCATAATCGCTATTTTTATATTTTTCTTTTTTTTATATTTTTAACACTCCCAACTGTAAATCAGGTTTTTTTAAATCCATGATTTTCTCTACTTTTTTTTAAACTTGTTTAAATTTTTTAAAGTTGTTTAGGTTTGAATACACGTTTTTTTATATTTCAATTTCTTTTTTAAAAAATTTGTTTAGGGCCTTTTGTAGGGCCTTTTGGCCTTGTACTGGACTTGAACCTTGCCTCGGCCCAACGGACGAGTCCTGTCACACCAGTTCTTCTGCAGAGAAATGAAAGCATGCACCTTATGCAGAAGCTAATTTTGATCATTTAATAACTAAGAACAGGATCCTTGAGGATCACCTTTTAAACAAGGTAGAGATCACCGACATCATGAGCACATGAAGAGAATCCAAGAGGAGCATAACGGAGGGTCAACTATAACTACGAATCGTCAAGGAAATGCATGAAAGACTTAAAAAATGGATGTTTGGACTACCCAAGATGGGCATTTTCCAGATTCTCATATTGCTAGAGAAACATTTTGAAGAAGTTACCACAACAAGAAAAATACATGGCATGAGGTTGTCGAGCTTCCGGGATAGCAGAACGAAAGTGAATGCATAAACAAAATAAAGAAGTGATTGATGCACAGTTGAAAGGCATGTTGTACAATTACAGGAGAAAGGATTCCACAAAAGGCATAAACTCAAATAAAAGACTTTTTCTTGTAGTACTGCATCAGTTGAATGCTCGACTTGCAATTGGAAGGTATGTTCACCAGATTGGAGGCTGAATCAGAGAAGCTGCCTGTTCAGTTTGCTTATTGGTCTAACCAATTAGATCAGGTGACTAAAATAAAAAAAATAACAAGTTTTAAAGGTGCAGGATAAATTTCCAATTCAAAAAGGCCAATTAAATGTGTTTCATTCAGTTTTTCAGAAAACCTTATTTTTTTATTGAAGCAGACATGTTTTGAGCCTATTTCCTGGTCCCAATGGTTGAACACCACAGCTTAGTCTGGTTTCCCAACAGTGACTGGACAACTAGATGCCAAAATTGCATTTTGATAACAGTAAAGAGTAGGCCAGTTTTTACAAGTACACCAAAGGTTTTGCCTAAATAAAAAGAAAATGCCTTTTTCACATGTAAAAGAATCCATGCTGTGCATAACCGCACCCAAGCTTCAAATCAATGGCACAAAGTTTTAATCCTCACTGATGAACCAAAACTTGAACGGAGCAAATACAGTTAGTACAATATTGCAAGCATCAAATGAATGTAATTTTCATCAAATTGGTACATCAATCATTCCCTTATCATCCACAAAAGCGAGGTTGCGATAAATAATGAACCAGCAAGGTTGGGATCTTCAAAATGTATTTATGATTCATCAAATAAACAACGATCTTCTTGAGATCCCAATGGTTAAAGGCCCATGAAGAATGCAAAGCCAGATCTTTTCCAATAATCAAACTATGACCTAAGACTGTCTTATGCCTAGATATCACTGAGGTAGTACAGTCTATCATTAAACATGTCACCAAACCCTGTTGTGATATATGGGATAATCTCAATTTTACAACCCTTCAAATTACAAAAGTTCAAGATAGAAAGAGTTGTGAAGGGTGGATTTATTAATTTTGTAGTTTATTTTTTTAAAAAAAAGTTACTTTTGTGGGGTAATTTTGTAAATATTACTACAAGACAAATGGTACTTTGTTTATCTCTATAATGGGTAAAGTTGAAATTTTAACTAAAAGACAATAGTACTCTACCAATAAAGTTTCAGAACATTAACTTCCAAAATGCCATTGTACTTTTGTGAAAGTTTCAAATTTACCCTTGTTTGATGGTAAAGTTACCTATTTAAATAATTTTTTTATAAAAAAGTAATCATTGTTTTAATAAATACATTCATCACAACCCCTTCTAACTTAACTTTTGTATTTTGAGGGGTTGTTAACTCTAAACAAACCCTATATATATATATATATATATATATATATATCTTGTAATATAATGAAACCACACTTCTGAAAAACCATATTTGTGACATTTGTATCGACCACAAATTTTTTACACACTCACTTAATCCCAATAGTCAATCACAAAAAAACAAAATTTAATTTGTATCCTATGGTCAAAATAAGTCTCTTCCATCAATGAATCTAGACCATCCAATTGTTGAGTTTCAAGATCTAGGTCTTTACAAATTCCAAATCAAATTTTCTTTTTCAATATTGTTAATCCAATGATAATAAAGCCATCTAAAAATTTTGAAAAGGAAAAAAATCTCTTAAAGGCCTAGATCTATACAACTCACTCAAATGGACGGCCTATACTAATTGAACTATAAAAACATTTTTTCGATTATGTTTTTAAATTTTAGTTTTGAAAAATTGTTTCATGCAGGCTGGACCGCATTTCTACATATGCCGTCCAAAAGTATAAAGCATCCATCTTAAAGATGGATGCAAATATGTGGTTCATCTAAAAACAATTGAAACTAACGGTCCAAATGTTTTCTTAATATAATTATTATTTATAGTTTTTAAAATTTATTTATTTTTTCATGTTCATGATTTCCATGTTAGAGATTACATATCCTTAAAAATTAAGTTAAAAAATCCATCTCAAAAATATATTTATTAAGGAGCCCGCATTTCTACATGTTCGGGGTTTGGCCCCGCATGCTAACCGCGTCCTCTATTTTTTTGTCATTATTTATTAGAATGAAAAGAGTGTATATTTAAAAATTGGGGTGAAACAAATAGGCCTAGCATAGTTTTTGAAGAATTTGCTTGAAACAAAAGATTGACCAAAATTGTTCGTCAAACAGTGTGTAGATTTTGTACAAGAAAAAAAGCAAAAATGGGAAACACCCCCCAAAGAATGGGAATGATTAATTTCACGATTTACACTGCTGGCCCCTCCTTAGCAAGTGATTCTGGACACAATCAAGTGATTAAAAGTTAAAAAATAATCAGAAAACTCTACAAATTTCAGTGATATGATCAAATACCTGTCCTAGCCTCGAAGGACACCCTGAGGCACTACTCGCCCAGCTCATAACTTTCTTAGAATCAAAATAAGCACTAGGCCCCAATATTGGTCAAATAGTTTAAGGCCTTCAGGGAGCGCCTTCGCCTCTGCCAAAGTTGAAATCTCTAACCCAACAAGGCCAATTAGGATGGCAGCAGGGTGGATGAGGTATCTGAAAATGCCCACGACCCCGGCTGACCCATGGTTTCCTAAAGAGCAAACATCAAAATTAAGTTAGATGGCGCCTTGCTCTGGAGCCACCCAAGAGTGCAGTACAGCAATCGCCATTAGAGTGGGCTGCGACATTGATTTCCACTTGCACAGCCGAGGCTAAGAAGGACTGGAACTCCTTCCAGTTATTTTCCCAAAAACTGATAACGGCCCTGGTCTTGTGTTTGATAGCTCCTAAATGTGAGTCTTGGCTTTTGAATGTTCTATTGCATTCCAGCCATATTATCTATAAGGAGGCCAGGACAGGGGCTCGCCAAAGGAACAAGGCCAGGCCAGGGAAAGGGATGAAGAAGTAGGCTCGAAAGAGTTGTTGCATCGTTACCTGGAACATAAAGTATAAAGATGGACTGTGCCTGGACAATGGAGAGTGGAGAAAAAGGTGGTCCACAGTCTCTTCCCTAACTCCGCACATGACCCACCAGTTTGTGAGGGGAAAGCCCCTTCACTGCCATGAGGTGTCTATTTACTTATCAGGTAAACACCTGGATCTTCAAAGGGCTGTGACAGCCATGTCTTGTTAGAGCTGGGTTCTCACTACCGGCTTGCTAATTTTTGTAAGGGGCACCAGTTCCGAAAGCACTTTGCCCCTCCCTCTTTGGCGGATGAATTGTGAATTAAATATAATGCAAAAAATCAACATTAAAAGCAATGGACAGGTGCATTAAGTATTTCAGGACTTCACCGATTCACAATGAAGGCGTATGAAATTGCGGCAATAAAATTACACAATTATCCTAAAATTTGGTTTATCTCCAAACGAATTCAAACACTGAAAGATCAAGGTGTCAAGTATCCAGATTTCCAGGTATATCGCATACAAATTTCCAGGTATATCGCATACAAATTCAGGCAAACTAAATTTAAAAAATCAGAATGGTACTTCGTACTTCAATACCACAGCAAATCATATAAATCAATGTCTTGATGCGTTAAAAAAAGCTCAAAGTAAGTCACATTTAAATCGTTGCAACAGAGTAAGCCGGCCCTCAAAGTAACTACCATAGAAGACAATCACTCAAATCCAAATTTTTCTCATGTACAAAAAGCCTCATCTTATTAAATGCTTTTTGACATCAAGAAATGCAATACTTCTAAAACTCAACACCCCAATTTGTCCTCCACCACTAATCTAACACGGTAAAATCCCATCTCTCTCTCTACTTTGATTTATACAAAACCCTTTTACAAGTCATAAAACGACAATTAAATCCACCCATGTCCATTCTGGTTCCACAAATTTCCCCAAAATGAAAACAACCCTAAAATCCCAAAGCGATAACAATTCTCACGCACCCAAACGTGAGCTCGCAACCCCATCTTTATGCATCAATTACCTCCTTGTTTCTATCATGAAGTTGCAGGGATGTGATAGACATGAGGGAGTGGATCTTCGCTAAAGCAGAGGTCTTATCGGGAGGACATTTGGCAAGAGCAATTCGAAGAGAAGCGAGAGCAGGCTCAAGCTGACCAGAAGCTATGGCTGAACAGGCTGACTTGTAAGCCTCATCTGCTGCCTTAACATCATGGAGTTGAGCACTTTGCTTTGATTTTGAATTCGATTTTGGAGCCGCCATTTTCAGATAGGCAGTGGCGCGCTGGTACTCGGATGCAGCAATGGCCGCATCGATTTCGGCCATTAAAGCTTCAGGAGTCAGAGAGCGGGGGTCGATAACTCCTCGCCCCATGAAATAGAGAGAGACAGAGAGCAGAATAGGAGGAAGAGAGATGGAGGGGGTGTATTTGTATAAAACTACGTTTTCACGGTTTCACCCTGTGTTCACAAACGCTAATGATGCGTCGAATCGGTCTTCCAAGTGTTTCGAACTGGATCGCCGTGATTCCCCTTTTTTTTTTCTTTTTTTGTCTTTTTTCTTTTTTTCATCCGTTTTGTTTTTCAAATAGACTAGGTTACGGCTGGTTTGGATGTCAAATTAATAAATCCTCACGGAATTAGGAGTTAGGGCTAGTTTGGATGTCAAATAAAAAACCTTCTCATCAGAAAAAATTGTAAGCTTTTTCATCTTTTATTAAGAAATATCATATTTTATTATTATTCTTGCTGGATTGTGGATGGTGTTTAACATGCTTAAAGCAAATTTACATTTTACCCTTCCAAAATTGTCTTGCCAATCCAAAAGGTTTTTATGCATCCCTCCAAAATTTTCTTGTCGATCGAAAAGCTTTTTATGCGTCGCTCGCATCAAAATAAAATTTGCTTCCATATAATATGCAAAGCCTGCAACCCGAGCGAGATCAAAGCTTGCAACCCGAGTGAGATCAAAGCTTGCAACCCGAGCTTCTCGCTTATAAACTTGAGCTCTAAAACGGGCCATATTGATCCCCCAGTTATAAATTTGAGCTCTAAAATGGGACAATCCCCCCCCCAGTTTCGACCATGAGCCAAGTGATCCCACCCCAAATGCTCAATAGGGCTTTGAAGGGTGCACTCTTGCAAATATCGAAGGGGATCATGGCGTTATTTGCCAATGACACAGTGTACCGCTTTAATGGAAATATGGTTTCGCAGAGCGACAAGGCTCTGAGGAGAATTTCTTGAATCCAGCTATTAGAGAGAAGAGTTATGGGCTTTGGATTACAGGAAAGTGGTGGCGATTTCAAAAAAGATGAGGGATTCTGGGGTGAAAAGATTGTTTGGGAGATTTGGGGTGAGGGGGGTGAAGTAGAAGCCTAAGAAGGAGTATTTGGATGCGCTGATTAGGATGCTTAAAGACGCTGCTTAGGGCTCTCTATGGATGGTGCTTGTGCTTGTCTGGTTTTCTTAGAGAGCGAAAATGAAAATGCTCCGCTCATTCAGGAATATAAGGGGTTTCCCATAGGTGGGGTATGAGAGAAAAGTTTTGTTTTGTAGAGAGAGAAAGGACCTTGGGCTTACAAAGATACCACCCAGGCCTTACCATGGATGGGGCTTGAGCTTCTCTAATTTTTTAGACAGAGAATGAAAATGCTCTCCTCCTTGAGGAGAAAAAGGGGTTATCCCGTGGGTGTGGTATGAGAGAAAAAGCTCGTGTTTTGCACGGGTGAGAGAAGGCTGCACTTTCATCCGAAAAGATTCAAGTCTAACTTGAATTATTTTGGATGGTAACTTTGTCTTGATATGGCAGTAATTTTTGTTTTTCAATCTTAAAATCTAGCGGTTGTCCAAATAGGTCAAAGACAGTTTCACAAGATTTTTGGATTGCAATCCAAAAATATTCCAATTTTGGGTACATCTAAACCGACACTTAGCTTTTTGAAGTTATTAGTAGGGTGGTGCTAGCGGTGAGAATGGAAACCACAACGTAGTGACCCCAATTTTTTTTTTTTTTTGGTCATTCAGTGGGGAAGACGAGCTCCTACCCGTTTTTTCAAGTGGATTAGGAGTTAACTTTTTGAAGTTATTAGAGAGATGGTGTTAGTGGTGGGAATGAAAACCACAACATGGTAACAAGGGTGTGGAGTGCTACCATACCACGACGCAAGCCCCTTTCTCCAAGTTTTAAAAAGGAAAAGATTTATATCCTCAAGTCTAAGTGTCAGTTTGGATGTACCCAAAATTAAAATATTTTTGGATTGCAATACAAAAATGTTGTGGAACTGTCTTTAACCCATTTGGACAACCGCTAGATTTAACTTATTTTTAGATTGCAAGAAAAAATTACTGTCATATCAAGGCAAAGTTACCATCCAAAATAATTCAAGTCTGACTTGAATCTTTTCGTATGAAAGTGCGGCCCTCTCTCACCGGTGCAAAATGCGAGCCTTTTCTCTCATACTACACCCATGAGAAAACCCATTCTCTTTCTCAATAAGGAGAGCATTTTCATTCTCTCTTTGAAAAAACAAAGAAGTTCAAGCCACATCCATGGCATGCCCTATGCAATATCTTTGTAAGCCCAAGGTCCTTTCTCTCTATACAAAATGAGTCCTTTCGCTCATACCAATGGGAAACCCCTTCTCTTCCTGAATAAGCAGAGCAATTTCATTTTCGCTCTCTTTAAAAACTGATTGCAAGCCCTAGGCGACGTCTATCAACGTCCTAATCAGCGCATCCAGAGATTTCTTCTTAGGCTTCTGCTTCCCCCCCCCCCCCCCCTCACCCCAAATATCCCAAACAATCTCTCCTCCCCTAAATTCCTTATTTTCTCTAAAATCACCACCACTTTTCTGTAATCCAAAGCCCCATAACTCTTCTCTCTAATCACTGGATTCAATATATTCTTAAGATGGTTACTTAGCAAAAGATTCACCATCTGCCTGGCCTCCGCCAACCGTTGCTTCAGCTCCTCAGAGCCTTGTCACTCTGCAAAACCCTCAAGCAATTGGAGGTCAACGTATAGCCCCAAAACCGCACTTCCATTAAAGCGGCCTCCAATATTTGCAAGAGTACATCCTTCAAGGCCCTATTGAGCATTTCGGGTGGGAGCACTTGGCCCATGGTTGAAACTAGGGGTCAATATGCTCCTTTTTCAGGCTCAATTTATAAGTGAGAAGCTCGGGTTGCAGGCTCTGCATATCGTATGGAAGCAAATTTTGTAGTGATGCAAGGGATACAAGAATGCAAAATTGCTTTTAGTATATTAACACCATCCAAACAGTCCATCAGAATAATAAAAAAAGATGATAATATTTCCTAATAAATGATGAAAAAACTTACAATTTTTTCAATGTGAAGGTTTATTAATTTGACATCCAAACTGGCCCTAAACAATCAAATTAGAGCTTACCTCAAAAATTTCACTAAAAGAGGTTGTTTTGATGCCCAAATATCTTCAAATTGATCATCTTGACATCAAGATATATGGACATGAGAAAAAATAGATTTCAAGTTTTCGGAAATATTGCATCTTGTAATGTATTTTTGGACCGTCAATCTTCCAAATTTTCAAGTTGTCATAGAGCTGCTCGATCTACACTATTTGTTAAGCTTGAAATTTTATAATCAGAGTTGAAAATATATTTTAAGGCTATCACAAAGATTTCTAGTGTTAAAACTACATTTGTCGACACTAGTTGAAGGTGCTCTTTACTTTGATTGTTTAGAGACTTGGTTCTATACAAACCGCACTATTTTAAAAAACAAAGGCTCTATAACAACAACACCCTTTTAAAAAACAAAGGACCTATATCAAAATAAGTAATGCTTCGTCTCAAAACTCACCAAAAACCATATTTTTTCATAACAAAGCTTCAAAACAATCATCTCGTGCTTTACTGTTGTAATTGAAAAACCAAATGGGATTTCAAGCCTTAAAGATGATGTATATTATAACGTATTATCTAGACTGTATATTTGACCCTAAAAATAAATATTGAGGATCCGTAGGATCTGTACCCTTTTTTAAGCTTCAAAATTTATAGATAGTGTTTGAAATTGCTTTTTGAGCCTAATTGAGATTTGATGCTCAAGGTGCTTTCTGGATTAGGATTCTAGGCAACATGTTGCTTTGTTTCTATAAAGCCTAGGTCTTATAGAAACTGCATCATCATATCATCATCATTAGAGTCTTTTTCTAATAATTTGGGCTCAGCTACAAAAAACATGTTCTACCGTCCTGCTCTATCAAGGGTCACACCCTTAGTGAGATTATAAGTTCTCATATCTTTTTTCAATACTTCAAACTATGTCGTTTTAGGTCTACACATTGCCCTTTTTGGGCTTTCCTCTTGAACACCTTCCAACATGTGTTTGTATTGGGTCTGTGATGCACATGGTCAGCCAACCAAGCTTACTTTTCTCATCTTATTGCCTATTAGACACACATGACTTCTCCTGAATGCATTCATTTGAATTCAATCACTTATGGGTCGTTTGGATACCTAGAAATATATTGTCTGTAAAATATATTACCGGCATAATACATTGTTGTGTAATACATTACTTGCAAATGAATTATTATTGTTTTGGTAGTATTTAGATGCAACTTGGGAAATACATTGCCACTGTTTGGCTATGTCTGAAAGAAAAAGTAGAAATGCATTACCAACATTTTACCAGTACTTGCCTATAAACTATCATTTATTTCTTTTTTGTCACAAATTTCTATTGAAATGTGGAATTAAAGTCATCACCACAACATTCTAAAAAGATTTTTTAATAATAACATCATCACCATTCCAAAAAGATTTTCTAGTAATAACTTTTACTATTCTAAAGTCATCATGACACCATTTCCTATTTTGCATGCATTTGGCACTTACATGGAATCACATGTCTTCTAATATGATGGTTTCAAATGATAAGTTATTGGAATAATATGATTGGAATGACATGCTTTTATTATAATAAGCCTTATTTTTATTTATTTATTATAGAAGTCT